TGGCGTAACTGTCTAAACATTCTAGTAGGAGATTCACTAGCTTTTAATGTAGTTTTGACTTCTTCATCTATACCATCATACCAGTCTTCTACACAGCCATAGAAACTATGTTCGATATAATTTAAGAAATTTTTAGAAATCTATTCAGTGTTTAAATTGAGTACACTACTCATGCTCTTTTTCCACTGATCTAAAACATATTGTCTATCTCTTACTCCATCCAACTTAAGCTTATAGCTAGTTTGACTTATGGGTTCAAGAGTTACTTCTTCTTGTTTGGGAATTTGGTTAGGCATAACCTTGACACTAAACCGGGTAGTCTTCCCTGGTATGCATCTTGGTCGTGTGCAACTTCCTTCTCCTTAATATCTAGGTATTTGGATAACATTGTTTACATTAATATTTTCATTAATAATTTCTTCTCCAACATCATTATTATCCATTACTCTTTTACCTAGTTTATTTTCAATCTTTTGTTGGACAACTTCTATAGGCAAAAAGTCTAGATCATTTAACTTCATTAATCTCATTTGTTGATATAAATCTTCCTCTAAAGTAACATAATTATTTTCCTCTCTCAAAATCAATCCCTTTTTCAGAAATTAAGTTCATGATTTCGTTTAGCTTATCAGGGTCTTCTTTATCAAACAAGATTTGCAATTCGTTAAGCGTTTTCTCCTGAAGATGAGGGCTCATATTTAGTTTCTTTATTCTTTTCTTGGTTATTAGTAGGTCTTTTAGGGAGTGATACCGTAAACTTTTTATGTTTATCTAAATTCTAAAATGGATATTTATATTTATAAGGAACAATTTTTTCTTTACTAGGTGATACTTCTTTAATAAATTGATGTCTAACTTCGTTTGTTAAAGCAAGTTGTACTTGTTTAACTCGTTTTTTTAGATCAATTACTTTTTTTATTAATATCAGTTGTGGTTATTGATATCTTATTTTCAATATTAATACAACGAGCATGTATATTGTCAACTTCAGATCTTAATGCACCAATTTGATCTACTATATAATTAAGGACTGGGCCAAAATTAATAGTATTTTCAGGAATATGATAATAATGCTTAAAATCAGGTTTCTTACACTCAGTAGAAGGCCTAATATTCTCCAATTTACTAATTATTAATTTAATTAACAACTTATTTTAACTTTTAACTGTATGGCTCTGATACCAATCGACGCAACTAGGCTACCATCAGATTCAAAAACAGACTTGATTAGGATACCAACAATATAACAATATATACCAACAACAATACTTGTTAAATATGATACCAACCGCAGTACTATAACTATACCAATTTATCGTAGGATGGTATTTAGATACTACTAAGGATGGTATAACCTATATATCTCGTTGGTACTGAATTTTAGTATACTGATAAGGTACTCTTTTTTTTTTCTTTTTGTCAAATTACAGAAATGACCTTAGTTGAGTCCTTTTTGGAGTATAGCTAGTTGAGGCTTAGAATTTGTGAACTGCTAAACATCGCCCGCAAATCTCTACATAAAGCCCACAAATTTTAGGTGAAGTGACACTTTTGCCCTTATATGTCAAAAAAAAAAACTCTCACACACTCTCATCTTCTCTCTACTCTCATCACCTCTCTCTAAAAAAAAAAAAAATTCAAACTACAATGTCGAGGCAGCAGCGGAGGCGGAGGGAAGGCGGTTATACGGTGGCAAGGTATATTTTTTTTAAAAATTAAAAAAAAAACCTCGAAGAGGCGGGGCGGCTGGGCAGGACGCCGTGGCCACGGTGGTGGTGCCCACGCCAGACGCCAGCCCCACGGCAGCGGCGGCTGGGCGGGACGCCAAGGCCACGGTGGTGGCGTCTTGCGTGGGCGCCGCCGCCGCCATGGGGCAGGCGTCTGGCTGGGACGCCGCCTTCCTTTTTTTATTTTTTTATTTTTTGTTTCTATTTTTTTTGTTTATGCTTATATTTTTTTTATTTCAGTTTTCTGTAAAAAAAAAATATTTTTTTTTTCAGAATTTTTTTTTTGTTTATGCTTATATATTTTTTTTTCAATTTTTTGATTATTTTTATATTTTTTTTTCAAATTTGTTTATTTTTACAAAGACTCTTTCAGGAGAGGGACAACATGACGACTGCATCAGGCAGAGCAGTTATTGATGATATAGAACGGGCCCTTGTGCAGTGGCAGTGGGCCTCAAAGAGGGATTACTGATCTATTGACAGTTTATTTATAGAACATTTTGTACATTATCATAGTAGTTTGTAAAATCTGACATTATCGTTTAAGTTTGTAACATTTGACATTATCATTTTAAGTTTTTAACATTTGACATATTTTTTTTTAGTTTGTAAAGCGCAAATACTAATTAGTATGCATGCAAAATATAAATTTAGTCAAAATTAGAATACAAAAAATAAATAAGTGGAATAAAAATAGCAATAAAAATAGCCTTGTTTATTCTCTCGAACAGTGTATCCAGAGCAGAGGTGGAAGAATCAATCTAGTCCTTCAAAGCTCTATGAGCGCTCTCAACTCTACATGTTGTAGTGTTTCCAAAATGAAGAACTTGGTTTGTCCAATATTTGACAAACTTTTCCCTGTGAGGTATCCACTGCTGTGTCACATAGTTTACCACTGCCGGACACCATTGGTACGCATCCTTGAAGTTATCCAAGGCTCGATCGTACTCTGCCTCTGTGGTAACTTGCAGGATCTTCCGCTACTTACCATTTACCAATCTCTCTGCTGAATCTAAATTCTTGTTGAAAAAGTTGTAGGCTTTGACTTTCACATAGTTGTTGATGTGCCATATGCACAGTAAATGCTTCGATTCTGGAAACAGCTCCGCTATAGGGGCAAAGAGACCTCCCTCACAATCACTGACGATGGCTGATGGCTGAACATTAGGGTCGATGTAGTTTCTCAACTTCTCCAACACCCAATAATAACTCGCACCCGTCTCATCCTTGATGACTGCATAACCAAGCAGAAAGTTCTGGTTCGTTGGAGCCATCCCAATCATCTCAACCAGTGGGAACTTGTACTTGTTTGTCTTGTATGTTGAATCGATCAAAATCACAGATGGCCAAGACTTGATCATATCAGCACAATCAGGATGCACAAGGAATAAATGAGTCACCTCAAATGTCTCTTCATCAGAATTAAACCAGAACAGGTAACCACGTGCTTGTGCCTGGTGTAGAAGCTGCTGTATAGGGTTCCTTCCCTCTGACCGTTCAAACCTCAGTTTCTGTCCGACGTTGTAGATCTGTCTTCGGTTTGGCTGGTCTTCAGGAAATTTCTCTAACACAGATGCTAATATTTTAGCAGGCTTCACTTGAGCATCACTCATTTCTTTGACAACTAGTTTTGCAGCAGGACTTAGGTCGCTTAACTGTCGATGACCCACTTCATATATTATCATCTCATGGTTGTGATACCCCCATTTAGAGTGACCCTTCACTTCCCAACCGTCACGACTTTGGTGTTGTCGAACCTTTACTCTGAACTCACACCCACAACCTTTCCACTTTGTATCAAACCGATTCGATGTATTAAAAATCTCGTTCTCCCTTTTGCGATAACGGTCGCATCTCAAAATGCGATCCATTCTACCATCCCGTTGAGATTTATGAGTTGCTACTACTAAACAAAAACCAGATCTAATTGCAACCTATTTTTGCCAATCAATCGTTTGTTGAGCATCTTCGAAGGGACCATCATGTACAAAAATACCACTATAATCATTTCCGTCTCCACCATAATGTAGGGTTTCGTAGTGACCCGACACTACGCGGAAGGAAACCCACCAAGACCCGCCCCTTAATTAAAGAAATTAAACAAGCATAATAAACTTAATCAAATAAGATTAAGGACAAGAATTATACCTTTGACGCGTGCTTCGCTCCCAAAGAGCTCTTACTTCAAAATCCTGAAAAGACGAGATCTCCGACGGATCGTACCCTCGACCCGACCCGAGCGTCCTAAGTCTTGAAGGTTAGTCAAGACCCGGACAAAATAACTATGAGTTTTACGAATCAAAGGTTTACTCTTTTCTTAGAGTTGCCTTTTTAATTTCACTCAAGGTTGTCTCAAATCCCAATACCAAGCTTGGTATTTATAGGGAAATGATCCCTTGATTCTCATTCCCCAACCAATGTGGGAGAATGTTTTATTTATCAATTAATTTATTTCTAAAATAAATCAATAAACAAATGCAATCACAATTCGACAAGTGTCAAGGAGGGAGAGAGTATTAGGTGAGGACCATGGAGAGGTGGGGGGACCAATGCCTTGGTCCCCAAGGCTTTCCCAAAGCCTTGGTCCCCACTCTCCTCATAAACCGCCTCACCCTATCCTGCTGCCCAGCTGCCAGCTAGCGTGCCAGCTGGCTGTGCCAGCTAGCCCAGCATGCTAACACTAGCCTAGCAGCATCGCTGATGCTTGCTAGTGCGTGCTGGCGCTGGTGCTAGCGTCCAACGCATCATCGTTCCTCGCATGCACTACTACAAATCCCGTCCTTTTGAAACGCTTTTTTCCATCATTTACGGCATTGAAAAGCGTCGCCATTTTTTTTCTCGACGCTTTATAAAAGCGTCGAGAAAAAGTGAGTCAAGAAATTTGCGACGCTTTTTCGTGTCACAAGTCTCGACACCTTTTTATGTCCCAATATTTTGTGACGCTTTAAATCGTTGAGAATCTCGACGCTTATCTATGTCCAAAACAATATACGAAGCGTCGATATTTGCAGGATTTGGCGCACTTTCTCAACTTTTTCGACGCTTTTTGCTGTCTAAAAGCATTAAATTGGTGACGCTTTTTTTTGTCTACAGTTTCAAACATTTGATATTCAATATTTTGGGACGGCTTTTTCGTCTATATTTTCTACGTTAGGGACAAATTTTCTTGTCCATATTATTTAAAAAAAATATCTAACATATATTTAACAAAAAAACGTGAGTCTCAATGAAAAAAAATACCAAATAATTGGGCCAAACTTTTTTTTTATTTCATATAGGTATATTATAGTATATGTACGATATCTCATAGTAACGAGATTTCTACTACAACAGATATAATTCCAACTTATACTTCATACGTGACTAGTTGTAGTGGAACAAATCTGCTCATTCCTTCTCAAAAAATCTTCAATCAATCTCCAATTTAGCTGCTCCTTAATATACTTGCAAGAGGGTGTAAAGCAAAGTTCATGATGAATGGAGGAAGAAAGGAAGAGTGGAAGCAACTGCCCTTGAAGGATGCCTGATGTAAAAAAAAAAAAAAAAAGAAAAAAAAAAAAAAAAAAGGTTAAAATTATCAACCTTATACCTACAATCCTCAAATAGAAGTAGCTGCAGCAGGGAAGGAAGGACGAAGCGACTCAAAATTCCTTCCTGGACATTCTTCCCCGTATACCTTGACACCACTAGCAGCATAAGAGCCTAGACCCACCTTTCTAGCAATAGTTTCTTTATAATGAAATGAAGCAAAGGCTTTCAAAGCTCTCATGCACTCATAAAACAATTCAGAATCCTGCACCAAAACAAGGTAGAGGAACAGATGCATCAATGCCTGGTATATAAATAAGAAAACAAAACTTTATCAGTGGTTCTCCAACTATACTGAAGCTTATAATGGCAGCCCTGCTAACAAAGTAACAATGAGATCTAGAAAAATTTCAATCCAAGATAAATACCTAACTTATTGGTGTATGCTTGCCTAACATAAAATGACATTCATGATATTCCAAAGTTAAAGCAAGCTATAAAAGCTGGTTCAATAATATTCTTTTGGCCAAGTAAGTTTGTAGCATATCATATGTTATTGATAAAAAAAAGAACATAAAAAAGAAAACATATATAGTTATCATTATCAATCCAACAATTGGACACACCAAATCAATACTGATAGAAATCTGATCAAAAAGGCAAACTCGCCCAAATCAAAGGGTTAGTGTGCGCTATCCATGCTGTTGTGACTCCGAACACAGCACCTTTAGATGTACCTTCAGGCTTTAGTCCTTTATAGGTATGTTTTTGTGTAAGACCCAAATGAAAAAAGACGTTTGAAGAAATCAGAATCACAACCTCATGAAAACACTACAATGAGCAAATGCAAAAGATACATTTCTTTTCATGGAGAGAGGAAAGCTAAGGGAATAAGAGAGGGAAAGTTGTAGTTTCACACCTGAAACTTATGTAGGGCCAGACACTCATATCCAAAGTTTGAGTTAACAAAGTTTTTGATAAACCTATATAAAGAAGACAGAAAACCGCACATCTCAATAGAAAACAGTAGTTAAAATATAATAAACATCACCAGCTTCAGAGCAATCATAGGGGGGATGTTGCACTTAAACCCCTCTTACATGGAAAATCAATTCAGGGCATATTATTTATTTCTTACTTAAACATTATGTCATATATACATATAATGGACATGGGATTGCATCAACCAAATCATATAGTTCAATATTCAATTCAATGGATATTTTAATAGAAATGGAAAAACTAGTACCTTACTACCTTTACCTTGTCGGTGTATGTTCAATAGAGAACTAGTTTACTTGTAAAGTTGTGCAAAGTACAGCAAGCTTATATATATGAGTGTGTATACTTTGGATAGTAACTGTCCTGTACTTGAAGTATTAGATTATAAAAGAAATATACGAAGTATTGCTCAGGGTTACTGTATGTGCTAGGGGGATTTTCTACATTTGCTTACTAGGATTCTTATTGTTTTGTTATTACAATTGAAGATTTGGCCTCTACTCCAAGCTGACTTATTAATTTGAATCGTCGTTACTTATCTTTTTTTTTTTTTTTTTTTCTCTTCAGTTTTTTTTTTTTTTTTTAAATCAAAACCAGAAAAAGTGGTTTGTACTTTGTTGTTGTTAGTAAACTAGATTCTATGTAGTTATGATTTCATTATAAATCATATCTCTTTTAAAAACAAAATAACAAAAACCGGAAAATGTGTTTTTGATACCAAAAGACCCTTAGCAAATAAGTTTGGATCAAGTTTCTTCACAAGTTGTTTAAAAGCATTTAAGATTAATGACAACCAATAAAGTATTGGCTTACTTGATAAGGTTTTTACCTCATATTCTAAAGGTTTGAGATTTAAATTCTACCAAATGAGAGTACTTGGACGTATGAATTTCCTTACCTTCCCCTCTACTCCTAACTCTTAAGTGTTTGGCTCGCAAATATAAGACCAAAAAAATCACGAGGGTTGAGGTCTAGTTAGGGATTTCCGTATCATTTAAAAAAAAAAATAATAAATAAAGCTCAATGACATCGTTTTGCTTGATTAAAAGTTTGGGACCTTGATATAAAAGTGAAGTGTGAATGTGTGGTTTTTTATTCTTGTTGCCTACCAAAGGCTATGTTTTCCACAACTTAAATAAGGTGTTTTAGTAAGTTTTAATTTGATTTAACTTAACTTTCACCGCATATGTAGACTAACATATAATTTTAAAAAAAACACTATTAAGTGGAATCTTTTAAGAGTATTTGTAATTCATAATTTATATTAATACATAACCACAAATATTGGTAATATCAAAACACAAATACTCCATAAGATTTGGTCTAATCAACTAATATAATATGGTATGATACTAAAGATATTAAGCAACAAGATTTTTAACTAAGTGAAGAGAATATGCCAAAATCCTCCAAATTTCAAACTCCGTTGAGTTACTTGATCTCAAGAATTTAATTGGTTAATAACAGTTACCTTGATTTTGTTATTACATGTAGCAAGGAAAACAAAAAAGAGTATGCTTATCAGTATATAAGCTGCTAATTAATCTGCTATAGCAGATACAAGTTATAAAATGAAGTTAAAAAAAAAAATTAATAAAAGCTTCTCAATATGGAAGCTCATAATTAAAAGGCGGCTCCTCATATACTAATATGGATGCCTATATATAAATACATAAGTTGAAAAGATTAAGAAAAATTAAGATGAAAGAATATTCTAAGTAGGACTACGGACTACCTATTCACTCTTCAGAAGTCCTGAAAAACTAAGCAAAAACAAACTGAAGAGAGAAATTAATAACATGTAAAATTTGGCTCAAGCTATCAACAGGTTGATCTGGCGAAGAAGAAGGGATGGGCGATTTTACCAGAGGGCCAGGACAGCTCCGCAAAAAATGATCTAATCACATAGCAAAAGAATGTACCAAACCTCCATGATCAGACTCGCTACTGGTGCTATCAATTCTAGCATGTTGCAAAGATGGATTACCATTGGGAATTTCAACACCCTGAATAAAGAGAAACAGGTCTCTTACTCGCCCAGTATCTGAGTTATGCTTACCTTCCCAGCAGCCTCCTGGGAATCTTGTCTATTATGTGCTCGCTTTCCTATGTCAACTTCAACTGATATGGTTGCTTGAGACAAATCTACCCCAGAACTCGGCAAGCTCGTGTTAGCGTACTCAACAACCTGTTCGAAATTTATATCCATTCAAGTTACTAGAAAGAAAAAAAAAAAAAAAAAAAAAAACAGGAGAATGAATATTTTATACATACAATCAATCCCTGAAATCATTTATTCTCTCAAAAAAGTTGCCAAAATAGGGATAAACTTAATCTGCTGATCAGCAAACTGGGTACCTTAAACATTATCATGACTTAAGAGAAAACTCAATTACTGTTCATTTATTTACAAGAAGCCATGCTTGCCCCCTCATAAACCTTCTACAGTTTCAAGAACAGAATCCTTAATTCTCACTTAGTGTACAAAAATGGTTATGCATAATCTTCAATCATCTTTGATACAAAGTGTCGTGAAATATTCCCTAATTTAATCACAGAACATCTACAAATAGAGTTTATGATTACTCACCCCTGAGAGTATACGCTTGAGATATTTATTGCGCCACCTTCACGAGCCAGCTCTTGATCTTTCAGTTTATCGGTGGCAAGAGATGGCTCAGATGCGGAAGTTCTACCTTTCCATAACTGCTATTGAGGGAATGAAGCATTGCCTCCCTCAGTTGGAAGCCTCACAGGAGGTGGTTCAACAGCACAACTATTAATGATAGGAGCGTGGATATCATGCTGCAGTGGTGGAGAAATTGATCCTGCTTTATTAGTTTTTCCAGGCTGCTGATCAACTGTCTTGACATTGATAGCATTGATGATGCTACATTCTGTTGGGGTTTGGGGATTGCACAGGACATTCAATGAAACAGCAGGAGTAGCTTTCTCATCAACTTTGGCACCAAACATCAACACAGGACTAGCATTCACTGCTCGAGACTGATCAACAAAACTCTCAGTTGCCCCATGGCTATTTCTCTGCATCAAACATATGAAAAATGAACAATGGTTTACTTAAAAAGTCTCTATAATACTTCAAAACACACAAAAAAAAAATAATAAAATGAGTACTAAGGCCTTGTTTGGTAAATGAATTTTTTGCCAACTTTCTCGGTGCCTAATGATTAATGACTTTTTCATGTGGTCAAACAATCAAAAAATTTGTTAATCTTTTGGCCTTTCAGCCAAAATGCAAAAGTTAGTTTGAGTAACCTTTTGGGGATGGCTTTTGGCTTTTTATCCTAAAAGTTGGTCTAGTTGCTAAGTAACAGCTATACATTGATTATATCAATTATCACTATAAACAACTAATGCTACATACCTTAACAGACATTACTTCTAACTCTAGAAAATGTCAATGAATCAATCTGAATGAACCGTGTAAAGAAGCAAGAAAGAAGTCCTTTCAGAGCATAATCTGTATAAATCCTTTCAGAGCATAATGTCACGACCCACACATTCCACCCCGCACTAGGGCCATTAGACGGGAGGCAACAATCGTGGCCAGGGGGAATGCCCTTGGTGCGCACTGGCTAGGCTAGAGACACCCTCCCCCTATAGAGCTTTATATTGCTCCAGTGCTGTCACCCTAGTGAACACCCAAGTGACAGTAACACAATAATGGGCTATTTGGGGACCCAAATGAAGTCCGATTGAGCCCAAATTTGGGGGTCCACCATTTTTAGGCCCAATGAACATCATGGTGGTATTAGATTTTGAAGGAGAAGTCCGGAAGGTTCCAGAATACTCAAGGAGACTCGAGATGCATCCGGAAGCTTCTAGAACCTCCTAGGACATCCTTGAATCATCTGTAAAATCTAGAGTTGAGTAGATAATTCTAGAGCCTTGTACATAGAGGGAATGTACTAAAGAAATGTATAGAATACTCTAGAAAGGATTAGATCTATAACCCTCCATTTGAGGAGGTTAGTGAAGGTTCTAGGCCATGCTTAGAACACTATAAATAGGGGACTTGACCTTCATTTGGAGGCATCTCAGAAAATACTTGTAAACACTCTCTCTCAAGCTATCAAAGCATTCAAAATATTTATATCCTCTTGTGTTCTCAACATTCCTTAACTTTCGTTGCACACTCTTGCTTGAAGCGTTTCGGGGTTAAGCCTTGACTAGCATCCGAGGGAGGGAAGTTAGTAGGCTAGCGTGCATAAGACTAGGGGAATTAGTCAGCACGTGACAATAATCTGTATAAAAACACAGAAGAACTTACCAATGGATTCAACTTGGGTGGTTCACTATTCCATCCAGGGTATGCCCCTTCGTATCTATTTACCTTTTCTTGTAGATACTGAATGTATTCAATGACCTGCATAAATACAGATATCAGAGGGTATCCTAGACAACACTATGTCAGATAAGAGAAGGTCTTTGTGCTCATACCTCTAACAGAAATGATGCCTTATCTCTCTTCTGGTCACTGTGAGGAATGAGTTCTCTCAACATGTGAAATCTGCAAAGGCAAAAAATAGGTATCAATAAGACAGTAACTCTTGGGACAAACCTACAGTTATCGAAAATCAAGTATCAAATTCCTGATAAACCTTGATCTAATTAGCCTTAGAACAGGAAGGTAAGTTATGTAAAGAAAGCCTACAGTTATAGGAAAGTAGACTATATATGTGGAGCACTACTGTAGTAGTACTCTGAGTCTCTGACCCACAACAATCACTTCAACCAAAACTTATATCAATACTTCATCCAAAGAGAAAATTTGAGAGTTACAACACTTGCAAGTATTCAATTCTATGTATTTTATACGAGCCTATTTTTGTACCCCTTTCATATTAGCTGCTTCTCTGCATTTACATTGACTAAACTAACCTTGCCATCCATACCCTCCTGTCCAAACCAAAGTCCTATTGTACATATTAGTGTGTCCAAAATTCCATGATGAAAAAGCGCTTGTGCAAGCAAACTGTATTCAACTCAATTGCGATTGTACCAACAATAAATCCTCCCTCAGTTTCATATTTTTCCGTTTAAATGACATGGAGATTGGTATATGAAGAAATTAAAGTAGGAAGTGACTTCAAGAGACAATTATATTGTGACACCCTAAAATACGAGTAAGGCTATTTAGAGAGATAGTTCTCCAGCAAACTGTACGTGATAGAGGGGACAATTAGGTAGTTACACTTACGTGAGATTTACTGCCCTTCCTCTCTCTAGTTCACTGGTGAGCTAAGTTTACTAGATAGCCTTTTATTTCCTAATATATACATAAGAGGTTTAATATCTGATGGAGTGGTACATTGATGTGAGTGTAACCTCCAATCCCCATATAAAGCTTTGAAAGCATCACTATGACAACAAGCATCATGCTTGCGGAGGTCTGTATAGTATATTACCTTTCTACTTCATATGGGTCCTCTAAGTTGTCTTGTATGCCAAACTAAAACATGAACACAATAATTATTATTGGACTAATGTCTAGATAGTAAATTACTTATATTGTATCAATCTGCTATGCAATGTTTAATCTTAGTTGGAAGAATGAAATAGACATTTACCTTTTACTATGTTTTCATCCCCCAAATTCTCTTTCTCTTTATTTCCCTTTTTCACAGTTGATTCATCCCACAATGTGAAACCACTTCCCGTATATGAGCTACAATTTGAATTGTCGTCGTTTTTATCATTGCTGGTTGCTGAAGCCACTAAGAAGATATTCTCCTCTGGCTTAGGCACCCTTGGATTAAAATAGGAAATGTGACTTATACTGTATGTTCCAATCCCACCAGGCAATACATATTCAACTACTGAAGTAGGAGGAGCTGCAGATGGAGGCTTAACATCTATATCTACCAAGTTATCTTCCTTAGTACCAGACTTTTCTTCTCCTTCAAGTGGTTGGAGGAAAGTATGTGTTTTAAGCAAACCTCCTGCTCCTTTCAGAGTTGAAAATACAGATTTAGTTATACACTTAATCACTTCTCTATATATTGAATAAATAGTTAACTATTACTGCTGTTTCTTTTATTTTAACAGTAATGTTATAAAGGAAAATCAAACTCTAATTTGAAAAACAAAAAGATTTGAAGCGAAATTAAGGGTTACAAACAAAGTTTTTGGGTTTAGAGTTGGATTACTTGATAAATTTTGAAGTCTGAACGGGAATTTTACTTTGTTAAGAGTCAGATTGATTACTCAATGTAATGTGAATAGGGGTGGGACTTTTCAAACCGAACCGTGAAACTGCCCGTTACCGAACCGAACCATCACGGACCGAACCGTTTATAAACCGATAAATTTAAACCGAAAATCGAACTGAACCGTACAATATCAAACCAAAACCGAATCGAACCGCTTAATGTCAACCCGTTACGGACCGTAAACCGATAACAAACCAAACTGGTCAAAACCGAACCGAATGCTTTATAAACCCGTTATTGACCCGAACCGTTTATAAACCGAAACCGTTTAAACCGTAGAAAAAACCTTTTTAAACCGAACCATTTGTAACCCGCTAACCGTTTAAACCGACCCGTTTATGAACCGAAACCGTTTAAACCGCAGGAAAAACCGTTTAAACCGAACCGTTACAATCCGCTAACCGTCTAAACCGAACTGCCATAACCCGTTATTGTTCTTTTGTTTTTTTCCCCGTTAAATTTCTTCGTTCAGCCTTCAGTGGAAGTCAGATACACCTATTGTTTGGGTGATAGGGTCACCCATTTTGGGCCTTGCTTAATGGATTCTCAAGCCCAATAAACCAAACAAGCTAAAGTCAATGCAAGATCAGTCCATAAGCCAAACAAGCTAAATTCTCAAGTGTTATTTAGTTCTTTTATTTAAGTTTAGTTTTAGTATAAATACCCTCTTTTTTTTTCTTTATTATTTTTTTTTTTAATGTAGATATTTCTAATCCAATATATATATATAAAGTAGGCATTTTTGGAGAGCATTTGGAGCGCCACGTAAAAAATATACTTATTTTGACCAATAAGAAGAAAGATTTGTATTTTATTTTTGAATTAAAAGATTTTACTTTATTTTTCCAACTATTTTTTTTAAGTGAATTTATTTTGGTGACTTGACCTAAACTTAACCCGACCCAAACTAACCCGACCCGAAATTGACCCGAAAATTAGTAATTAAAATTGACCCTACCCGAATTGACCCGACCCGAACTTGACCCTACCCGTACGTAACCCGAATTGACCCATCCCGACTTAAACACGACCCGAATATTTGCTGACCTGAAATTGACCCGATAGAATCCGACCCGAATGACCCGTTTGCCAAGTCTAATATAGGCTCACTTTGTTCGAAATTAGTTGTCAAGTACTCATATTTATTCTACCTTTGATAATGTACTCATATTTATTCTACCTTTGATAATATATAGGTCTTGAACACATGCTATAATTGACAATGTCCATCAAAGTCTATGAAATATAACGTTATATTGATATTATAACAATCCTAAACCCAACAAAGGTTTTTCTCGTAACCTCAGCAAAAGCACTTATAAATAAGAGACTTGCAAATTGCAGCACCAAGAAGAACCTAATGTATTCATTAAAATGAAAGATCAAGAAGGAAAATATTAAGAAGAAAAGAAGGGGCGAAAACTCTTAGGTAAGGAGGTTCATCATGTATTCATGTTACAGTGGGCACAATAGAACATCCTTGACCGAACAAAATTTTACAACAATCTTACTAAGAATTTCTTAGATTTTGATCTTCTGTTCTTCTGTTAATGAAGTTGGAAACAAAACTTCGAAGGTGACATAGAGATCACCTTTCTTGTTGCTCAAATACAGTGGCATTCCTTCTCCTTTAAACTTCCTCACTTCCTTGGGCTTTGTAATACTGAACATCATTCAGAATTTGCTAAGTTAGTGTCTCGACAATCATAATAATATTTGGAAAAATTCAAATGGTTCGGCTAATCAATTCACAACGACTAAAAGTATTTATATTATTTCAATGCTGTGGGTGAGCTGCTAATCTGCTTTTGCCTTTTGGTTGTTGTCCCTGCTGAGTTGCTTCTGCCTATATTGTTGCCTGCTTCTCTGCCTGAGCTGGTTCCTGCCTCCTGCCAGCTTGAGGTGTTGTGTTGCTGCTTCAGTATTGTTGCTGCCTTTTGTGTTATGAACTTATGATAAGTTTTATTGTTGTTGTTTCTTATGCTTGCTGTTTTAATTTATCTTGAATCATCGTTGCTCTTGTCATTTATGTTGAGACTTCAATGTATATGTACTTGCTGGCAGCATTTTTCAAGTTTTAAGTTAAAACAGCCATTGCTCAGTGATGATACGATAAACGTAAATCTGAGAGCAATTTTTAAAAACAAAAATTAGTTCTGAAGTTAATTGGTTGAACTGATGTTTTGTGAGCTGCTTATCTGCTTTTGGTTGTTGTTCCTGCTGAGTCCCTTCTGCTTATATTGTTGCTTGCTTCTGATGAGTTGCTGATATGTTGTTGCCTGAGCTGGTTCCTGCTTGTTGCTGCTATTTCTTCTGCTCTTGGGTGCTGTGCTGCTGCTTCAAGATTGTTGCTGCCTTTCGTTTTTAGGAATGTTTTTTTTAGGTTAAATTTTGTTATTAGGATAATTTATTAATTTATGATCATATGTAAAATGTAAATCCTTAACTTATTTATTTTTAATGTAAAATGTAGATGAAATGTATTTTTTTGGAATAATTAAAGTTATTTATTTTAAATTTATATTTATTGTTACCTTTGTTAAATTAAAGTATATATATAATAATACTAGTATGTTACATTTGATATTAATTAAAGTAAATAAGTAATCTAAAACGACATTATTCATATTAATAATGTCGTTGGACTAGGTGATATAAACCGTTGTATAAATTCACTAGTAGAAAAAACTAAATAGGCACCCCCCTATGGCAGCGGTTCATGAAAACCGTTGCCAACTAAAATGAGCGCCAATTAAAATTTCAGAGTTGGCAACGGTTAACGGTTGCCAAATGTTTCTTTTTTTTTAAAAAAAATAAATAAATAAATATGTTAGAGTTGGCAACGGTTAACCGTTGCCAAATACTTATTTTTTTGTTAAAAAAAAAAAAATTAAAAGGGGTAGATCTGGCAACGGCCAATTGTGAAAAAAAAAACTCGGTTTTTCCTTTCTCAAGCCTCCTGTATACTCCCTCCTGTTCTTCGTTCTTCTTCAATTCATTAAAAAACATTGACGCGCGTTTTCCCTCCCCCCTTCTTCATTCAGCAACTCCCCTCTTTGTTCCTCCATTGAAGTGCTGCGAGCTTTCTCACCTCCGTTGAAGACAATACTCGCGTCGTACTCCGGCAATAACTCCCTCCATTGAAACATCTTCAACCGAAGGTAAGTAGCAATTAGGTTTTACTTATATACTTCCATTGATGAATTCGTTCGACTTTTTGGTGGATTTAGGGTTTCGAATCGTGTAATGTTGTTTGATTGATTTGTTTTTTTCAATTTGGTTGTTCTTTGTGGTTTTCGGCTTCTGGGCTATTTGGGTTTAAGGAATTTAGTTTTGATAGTTTTATGGGTTTAGGGTTTTAATTGCTGTGCTACATTGTTGGCAATTTGTGTCATTTATGTGCTTCAATTAATCTATGTTTGTTGAAATTTTGAGTTAATGGTCAATTTGGAAGCATGATGATACGGCATTTCTGCAATGTATATTGATTTATACGATCTTTTCGTGCTTAGTGATGTTCTTACCAGATGACTAGTTGATGCATCATTTTGATTCTATCTTTGTTGATTTTTTTTGTTGCTGGTTATTGCCTACAATATTGAAAATTGTTGAATATTCCAAAGAAGGGAAACTAAGTATGAGCTACGAATACTAAATTAATGGTTTCGGATATGATTCATGACGCCGAGGAGTGTGAATAAATTGTGATTGTTGCATTATATTTTATTTTGGGTTTAGTTGTTAGCAAAAAAAAGTTTGAAGCAGTTTGTTAATTCTTACAAGGGTACTCAATTTAAGAAGCTAGTTTGACTGTAGTTATTGTCAATTTATCATGGTTGGTGTGGATGATACTTGTTGAATTTGCTTGTTTCTTATCCTATTTGTATAGAGTATAGATATCACAATCCCGATGGTTAAATTTGAAAATTATATATGAAGTGCTAGTGCTAGTGTAAATTCATAATGGAATATATAAAAATTTGTGTATTGGTTAAAAGTGTAATTGACTGAGATGCCAGGTTGCTTAGTATGAAGTATATCTTAACTTTCACCTCCTGTTATCACTGAGACATTGTAATTTGTTTTTTTGGAAATAGGCTAGTTTTGTTGCTAATGCTGCTAGTTACAAAGTTGTGATGTCATATTTTTTATGCTGTTTGTAGAAGATAATTTTGTAGAAGAAATGGGCCGAAGGCTCTGAAACCAACTCCAGTTATAGTCCGATGCAAGTAAGGCATTTCATCTGATATCTTTCTGAAATTTTGATCTTTGAGTTGACATTCTTGACAAAAAATGTGTTTATGAACTGCATATAAGATATGTGCTTTACATTCTTTTGGTTCTTCTATGGAGTTACAAGTAGATAAGAGTTTTGATTTGGGATTTGTTTTGCAACTCTCGTAAGATAAGCAATGGAAACATGTCCACTCTTCACAACATTTTAATATTGAAGGGGGTGTGTTACACTGAACTTATTCTCTTAATTAGATATCATATCCAATGTGAATATACACGAGAGTGGATAGTGAATTCAGTGGCAAAATTAGGATGTTTATTTATCTATCTGTAGTTTCAAGAAGTTTTTCATTCCAGTTATATGTGAATGTTTATTTGATTGATTGCCACTTTGAGAACAAGGCTATTATTGTTCACTTAAAATAGGATGTTTCACAGGAAATATTGTCTCAATCACAGTTCTTTATCCATGAGAAGGAGCCAAATTGAATTTTCACACACTTTTGTTTAATTTTCTAATATCTTTTGTGATTATGTGTAAATGATTACCATTCACTTGTGCAGAAATATGATGTTTTGTTTGAGAGGAATGGAAAACAAGGGAGCTTTTACCTCCAATCGAAGGTCATTCCTACTAACTAACCCCAATTATTATTGAGCCATTTATGAGTTCAATAGACAAGAAATATAGAAAATAGGCATCCTAGTAGCCAAAATGGCCTTACTTGAGCCATTTTGGTTGAAATTGCGTTCCAAGACCACTTACTTGCTCTTTTCTTGTAATCTCAAACATTAGGCACCTATAACTAAGTGATAATGATATGTCTTAACTAGTTATGATTTCAATATACAAGAATTACAGAAAATAGGCATCCTAGTAGCCAAAATGGCCTTACTTGAGCCATTTTGGTTGAAATTGCGTTCCAAGACCACTTACTTACTATTTTCTTGTAATCTCAAGCATTAGTCACCTATAACTAAGTGATAATGACATGTTTTAACTAGTTATGATTTCAATATACAAGAATTACAGAAAATAGGCATCCTAGTAGCCAAAATGGCCTTACTTGAGCCATTTTGGTTGAAATTGCGTTCCAACACCACTTACTTGCTATTTTATTGTAATCTCAAGCATTAGTCACCTATAACTAAGTTATTATGACATGTTTTAACTAGTTATGAGTTCAATAGACAAGAAATATAGAAAATAAGCATCCTAGTAGCCAAAATGGCCTTACTTGAGCCGTTTTGGTTAAAATTGCGTTCCAAAACCACTTACTTGCTATTTTCTTGTAATCTCAAGCATTAGTCACCTATAACTAAGTGATTATGACATGTTTTAACTAGTTATGAGTTCAATAGACAAGAAATATAGAAAATAGGCATCCTAGTAGCCAAAATGGCCTTACTTGAGCCGTTTTGGTTGAAATTGCGTTCCAAAACCACTTACTTGCTCTTTTCTTGTAATTTCAAACATTAGGCACCTATAACTAATTGTTTATGACATGTTTTAACTAGTTATGATTTCAATATACAATAATTATAGAAAATAGGCATCCTAGTAGCCAAAATGGCCTTACTTGAGCCATTTTGGTTGAAATTGCGTTCCAAGACCACTTACTTGCTATTTTCTTGTAATATCAAGCATTAGTTACCTATAACTAAGTTATTATGACATGTTTTAACTAGTTATGAGTTCAATAGACAAGAAATATAGAAAATAGGCATCCTAGTAGCCAAAATGGCCTTACTTGAGCCGTTTTGGTTGAAATTGCGTTCCAAAACCACTTACTTGCTCTTTTCTTGTAATCTCAAACATTAGGCACCTATAACTAAGTGATTATGACATGTTTTAACTAGTTATGATTTCAATATACAAGAATTATAGAAAATAGGCATCCTAGTAGCCAAAATGGCCTTACTTGAGCCATTTTGGTTGAAATTGCGTTCCAAAACCACTTACTTGCTCTTTTCTTGTAATCTCAAGCATTAGGCACCTATAACTAAGTTATTATGACATGTTTTAACTAGTTATGAGTTCAATAGACAAGAAATATAGAAAATAGGCATCCTAGTAGCCAAAATGGGCTTACTTGAGCCGTTTTGGTTAAAATTGCGTTCCAAAACCACTTACTTGCTATTTTATTGTAATCTCAAGCATTATTCACCTATAACTAAGTGATTATGACATGTTTTAACTAGTTATGAGTTCAATAGACAAGAAATATAGAAAATAGGCATCCTAGTAGCCAAAATGGCCTTACTTGAGCCGTTTTGGTTAAAATTGCGTTCCAAAACCACTTACTTGCTATTTTATTGTAATCTCAAGCATTATTCACCTATAACTAAGTGATTATGACATGTTTTAACTAGTTATGAGTTCAATAGACAAGAAATATAGAAAATAGGCATCCTAGTAGCCAAAATGGCCTTACTTGGGCTATTTTGATCGAAAATGCGACCTAAACCCTTATATTGCTATTTTCTTGTAATTTCATTCCTTAGTCACATATAACTAAGTAATAATGTCATGTTATTATTATGACTAAGTATGAGTTCACTTACGTTTTGTGTATTATTCCAAGTTTTGTTCGGGTCATTCCTACTAACTAACCCCAATTATTATTAATTCACTTCTATTAACTCACATTTTGTGTATTCTAAGTTTTGCAAGGGGCAAACAGGACAGCCATACACGAGCGAGGAACTCCATGTAATTCGAGAGATGTTGGCGACCTACATCACATTTAATTTGTAAATATCGTTTACTAGCTAGCTACTTCATCAATTCTAGCCTTAGCTTACTAATTATGTACTATACATTATTATAACTAATTAAAATTGTTTGTAGGTAACATGACACATTTTTCTAATTAATATCATCTCTTGCGATTGTTATTATTATTTATGTTTTGTTAGTAATAATACTAATTATTGTTACTATTATAATAATAATTATTATTATTAATATTAAATATTATAATAATAATTATTATTATTTAACATGTATATATTATTATTGCAGCCAAAAAAAAAAAAAATACAGGTCAATGGCAACGGTTAACCGTTGCCAATTTATTTTTATTTTTTTTTAAAAAAAAGGCGCCATTGTAGTTGGCAACGGTTAACCGTTGCCAACTCAAGCAATTGGCAGCGGTTAACCGTTGCCAATTGCTTGAGTTGGCAACGATTTTGAACCGTTGCCAATTATTTTGGGATTTGGCAACCCTCAAATACGCAACGGTTCAAAACCGTTGCCTTTGGGGGGGGGGGTTTGAACCGTTGCCAATTTGCTCTTTTCGAGTAGTAAAACCTAAGCCATTTGATTAGATCTACATTTATTAACGTTAATTGTATTTATTTTAAATTTATATTTATTGTTATCTTTGTTAAATTATATATAATAATACTAGTATGTTACATTTGATATTAATTAAAATAAATAAGTAATCTAAAACGACATTAATAATGTCGTTGGACTAGGTGATATAAACCGTTGTATAAACTTAAGCCGTTTGATTAGATCTACATTTATTAACATTAATTGTATTTAGGTTGTAAATAATTCAATTTGAATTAAGCAGTTTGTAATCGGATCAGTTTAAACAGGTTGCGATTCGAAAACAGTTCGATTTTAACGGTTTAACGGATTATGGCAGTTCGGTTTAGACGGTTAGTGGATTGTAACGGTTCGGTTTAAACGGTTTTTCCTGCGGTTTAAACGGTTTCGGTTCATAAACGGGTCGGTTTAAACGGTTAGCGGGTTACAAATGGTTCGGTTTAAAAGGTTTTTTCTACGGTTTAAACGGTTTCGGTTTATAAACGGTTCGGGTCAATTACGGGTTTATAAAGCATTTGGTTCGGTTCCCTTTTGGTTTGGTTTTGACCAGTTTGGTTTGTTATCGGTTTACAGTCCGTAACGAGTTGACATTAAGCGGTTCGATTCGGTTTTGGTTTGATATTGTACGGTTCAGTTCGATTTTCGGTTTAAATTTATCGGTTTATAAACGGTTCGGTCCGTGATGGTTCGGTTCGGTAACGGACAGTTTCACGGTTCGGTTTGAAAAGTCCCACCCCTATTCACATTACATTGAGTAATCAATCTGACTCTTAACAAAGTAAAATTCTCGTTCAGACTTCAAAATTTATCAAGTAATCCAACTCTAAACCCAAAAACTTTGTTTGTAACCCTTAATTTCGCTTCAAATCTTTTTGTTTTTCAAATTAGAGTTTGATTTTCCTTTATAACATTACTGTTAAAATAAAAGAAACAGCAGTAATAGTTAACTATTTATTCAATATATAGAGAAGTGATTAAGTGTATAACTAAATCTGTATTTTCAACTCTGAAAGGAGCAGGAGGTTTGCTTAAAACACATACTTTCCTCCAACCACTTGAAGGAGAAGAAAAGTCTGGTACTAAGGAAGATAACTTGGTAGATGTAAATGTTAAGCCTCCATCTGCAGCTCCTCCTACTTCAGTAGTTGAACATGTACGTATTGCCTGGTGGGATTGGAACATACAGTATAAGTCACATTTCCTATTTTAATCCAAGGGTGCCTAAGCCAGAGGAGAATATCTTCTTAGTGGCTCCAGCAGCCAGCAATGATAAAAACGACGACAATTCAAATTGTAGCTCATATACGGGAAGTGGTTTCACATTGTGGGATGAATCAACTGTGAAAAAGGGAAATAAAGAGAAAGAGAATTTGGGGGATGAAAACATAGTAAAAGGTAAATGTCTATTTCATTCTTCCAACTAAGATTAAACATTGCATAGCAGATTGATACGATATAAGTAATTTACTATCTAGACATTAGTCCAATAATAATTATTGTGTTCATGTTTTAGTTTGGCATACAAGACAACTTAGAGGACCCATATGAAGTAGAAAGGTAATATACTATACAGACCTCCGCAAGCATGATGCTTGTTGTCATAGTGATGCTTTCAAAGCGTTATATGGGGATTGGAGGTTACACTCACATCAATGTACCACTCCATCAGATATTAAACCTCTTATGTATATATTAGGAAATAAAAGGCTATCTAGTAAACTTAGCTCACCAGTGAACTAGAGAGAGGAAGGGCAGTAAATCTCGCGTAAGTGTAACTACCTAATTGTCCCCTCTATCACGTACAGTTTGCTGGAGAACTATCTCTCTAAATAGCCTTACTCGTATTTTAGGGTGTCACAATATAATTGTCTCTTGAAGTCACTTCCTACTTTAATTTCTTCATATACCAATCTCCATGTCATTTAAACGGAAAAATATGAAACTGAGGGAGGATTTATTGTTGGTACAATCGCAATTGAGTTGAATACAGTTTGCTTGCACAAGCGCTTTTTCATCATGGAATTTTGGACACACTAATATGTACAATAGGACTTTGGTTTGGACAGGAGGGTATGGATGGCAAGGTTAGTTTAGTCAATGTAAATGCAGAGAAGCAGCTAATATGAAAGGGGTACAAAAATAGGCTCGTATAAAATACATAGAATTGAATACTTGCAAGTGTTGTAACTCTCAAATTTTCTCTTTGGATGAAGTATTGATATAAGTTTTGGTTGAAGTGATTGTTGTGGGTCAGAGACTCAGAGTACTACTACAGTAGTGCTCCACATATATAGTCTACTTTCCTATAACTGTAGGCTTTCTTTACATAACTTACCTTCCTGTTCTAAGGCTAATTAGATCAAGGTTTATCAGGAATTTGATACTTGATTTTCGATAAAAACTTTTGCTGCATTCCAATTTTTGATAATAGGGAAGTTGTAAAGTTCGTCTCTGCAACTATTGCATTTTTATAAACTTAACTAGATTGTGAGAAATCCCTTGATTATTTTGATGGACAGAGTCAACAATAAAAATGGGGCAATGGCCTTTGGATCGGCCTTCACAGTCTTCTTCCAACCACCGCAGCAGTGTCAGCCCTCTTTCGTCTTCTCAGTCAGTGACTTACCCTATTTATATTTCTGTCATCCTCACCCAGAAACTATGTCCAACTGATAGGAAATTGGAAATTTTATAGGGCAATTATTCAGAAGAGTCAAAGCTTTATGGAGATGATCAAATCAGCAAAGTGTCCTCATTCAGTGGAGGAAGAGGTTGAAGAGGATTTGAGCCTAAAAAAGGAAAGCAGCTCTTCTCTAAATGGTTAGTATTCTGCTCATTGTAATAGGAGTTGGCTTGTATTTGGCATCATGAATGTCTTTATCTCTCTCTGTCGCTTTTTTAATTGACACAGAAATGCAGTTGTAGATGAAATTTGTCTTTGAAATTATGTTCTCTTGATAATACAACCCTTTTCTGATTAACTTCATGGGATATAATTAAATCTCATTCAATCAAGATATAAGAGGCTCTAAGAATTTGGTGTCCCAAGAGTTACTGTCTTATTGATACCTAATTTTTGCCTTTGCAGATTTCACATGTTGAGAGACTCATTCCTCACAGTGACCAGAAGAGAGATAAGGCATCATTTTTGTTAGAGGTATGAGCACAAAGACCTTCTCTTATCTGACATAGTGCTGTCTAGGATACCCTCTGATATCTGTATTTATGCAGGTCATTGAATACATTCAGTATCTACAAGAAAAGGTAAATAGATACGAAGGGGCATACCCTGGATGGAATAGTGAACCACCCAAGTTGAATCCATTGGTAAGTTCTTCTGTGTTTTTATACAGATTATGCTCTGAAAGGATTTTTTCAGGTTATGCTAGCAATATGTATACTCTGAAAGGACTTCTTTCTTGCTTCTTTACACGGTTCATTCAGATTGATTCATTGACATTTTCTAGAGTTAGAAGTAATTTCTGTTAAGGTATGTAGCATTAGCTGTTTATAGTGATAATTGATATAATCAATGTATAGCTGTTACTTAGCAACTAGACCAACTTTTAGGATAAAAAGCCAAAAGCCATCCCCAAAAGGTTACTCAAACTAACTTTTGCATTTTGGCTGAAAGGCCAAAAGATTAACAAATTTTTTGATTGTTTGACCACATGAAAAAGTCATTAATCATTAGGCACCGAGAAAGTTGGCAAAAAATTCATTTGCCAAACAAGGCCTTAATACTCATTTTATTATTTTTATTTTTGTGTTTTAAAGTATTATAGAGACTTTTTAAGTAAACCATTGTTCATTTTTCATATGTTTGATGAAGAGAAATAGCCATGGGGCAACTGAGATTTTGTTGATCAGTCTCGAGCAGTGAATGCTAGTCCTGTGTTGATGTTTGGTGCCAAAGTTGATGAGAAAGCTACTCCTGCTGTTTCATTGAATGTCCTGTGCAATCCCCAAACCCCAGCAGAATGTAGCATCATCAATGATATCAATGTCAAGACAGTTGATCAGCAGCCTGGAAAAACTAATAAAGCAGGATCAATTTCTCCACCACTGCAGCATGATATCCACGCTCCTATCATTAATAGTTGTGCTGTTGCACCACCTCCTGTGAGGCTTCCAACTGAGGGAGGCAATGCTTCATTCCCTCAATTGCAGTTATGGCAAGGTAGAACTTCCGCATCTGAGCCATCTCTTGCCACCGATAAATTGAAAGATCAAGAGTTGGCTCGTGAAGGTGGCACAATAAATATCTCAAGCGTATATTCTCAGGGGTGAGTAATCATAATGTAATCCCCCATATTTTTCTTAGTAAATATTAATTATATATTTTTATGTATACGATTATTTTCAATAATTTTATATTTATATAAAAAAAAAAAAAATTTGGAAAGATTTCACAAAATAAAAACAATAACTTACATTTCAATAGCATTTTACTCACTATTGGGCTAAGATTACCATTCTAATTCTACAAAAATAAAAGAGCCCAAACCCTCATTTTTCTAATTAAGTAAACTTCTCCTAAAACCC